TTGGTTTTGTACATTTAATTTTTGTTTAACGTTATTAATAAAAATGTTGTTCAATTAGCATGTTTTTGTGTTTTGCTTTGGTACCGAAATTGGTACCGAGAACCGTGGATTTTCACTGGTATTGGTACCGAATACTGAAATTTTGGTACCGTGACAACACTAAATCGCTGACATGGTTTTCTCTTTTCATGTTTGGTGCCGTCTGCAATTACACTGGACGATCTAATCTATAAATGTGATATTTTGACACATATTCACCTTTTATATTTATATTCACCTAAGACATGAACAACTTTGTTCACATTAATAATGGCGAAATTAGCATTTGAATTAGTTGTGTAACTGTTCAGTTGCGAATGCTTTTCACAGAGCACACAGTCGCAAAACGCAATAATGTTATAGAAAAAAACTGGCGTTGATGAATCTTTTTAATTTTTCTATCGACTTGGTAGGCTACCGAAATACCGGTGTTACTTTGACATCCTTATTGATAGGTAATGTAGGTACCTTGCGCGTAGGGCTTTATCATGACGAGTATCTCAAATGCTGACAGCCATGGAGATAATTTCTCTGCGTTTGTTCCAAAAACGTATGATTCAGCATATTTCTTCATCAGAGACAGAGGTTTGGCACATACAACAAAACATCAAAGACTTCTCCCGTCCCACTGTGAGGGGAGAGCGACGGCCGTTTCATCTTCATGCCAATAGGAAGTAGATCCGTGCGCTGGGCAAGGAGCGCGGAGAGATACTAATAGCGCTTTGTGTGTGTGTGTGTGAGAAGTATTCCAACTATCCGAGCGTCCGTGCAGCCGCGCGGGAGGAGCGGAAAGAGGCTGTGGCGCCGTGCGCGTGAGAGAGAGAGTGAGGGGTGTGTGTGTGTGTGTGTGTGTGTGTGTGTGTGTGTGTGTGTGTGTGTGCAGAGAGAGCGGCTGAGAGTGTCTGTACCATGCAGAGATTCGGAACTTATAAACTTCATGAAAAGCCACCAAACAAAGGACGTTAGCACTGAAATAGGTATGTACGATTTCGGAAGTCTTAAAATTGCGCGAGGGCTTTTTGGACTTGTTCTAGTTTTCTGTGCTATTTTCAGAAATGCGTGAAAGTTTCAGTTAGCTTGCGGTGTAAAGTTGCCGTTGGGAGTCCTCCACTGCTGTCCGTAGTGGAAATAGGGCAGCTTTGAAGTTGACCGTGGCTTGGCAAAGCTGTTGGAATACTCAATGTGTTCAGTTGCAGTTGAATTTTATAAGATATGCGGTCCAGAGTGGTCAGCTAATTGTTTTCAAATGGGAACAGTTCATACATCTGGCCAGCGCATGAAGGCATCAGTAGTGTGGCGACGTGAAATGAATATGAACTGACTGACTGGGGGATGGGGATACACTTTAACAACGGAGCAGAAGCCCGTCTTTTGTTACTTTGGTATTTTGTTTCCATTCCATAGGCTAAATTGCCGTATTTAGGAGAGTTAACACTGTTCTTGTGATGAAAACGATTCATTTAGTATGTTGATTAGTGTGCTAACAAGTAAGAGGTGTTATGGTTCTTTGGTGTCGCTGAGAACGTTCAGTCATATTGATTTCATTTCTGAACTAAACTTCATTTTAACGACTGCGAGTCTTTTGCTGTTTTATATGCTGGAGGGCACGAATAGTCGCGAGGATGTTTGGAAATCTCCAGCACGCGCTCGTGGAGTGTGAAGTCCTGTGTTGTAAATTGCTTTGCATACAAAACAACTTACTAAATGTTAAATGTTGTATTATTGTTAGGAATTTATACATTGCTCCGTCTTTCGTCGGCAAGCTAGACGAATATGTGCGTATTTTAGCAAATGCGAATAGATGAAACGAACGCTGAAAGATTTCTAGAGATTTGTTTAACATGGTTAGCTATGCAAATGGCACTTTCCTGATGTGCAGCATATCAGAAAATAGGCTAAACAATATTACGAATACTAAGAACCACTATAATAGGCCTAATACATCTATTTGCCACTAATACATATGATTAAATAGGTAATAAGCACTTCTTTGAGTTCTGGTAAATAATGCAGGTCAATGTAGAGATGAAAAATAAAAAGTTTTGTGATTGATCAGCTTTTCATATTCATTGACATAATGTTTTCTTACTTATGTTATGAACACATTATTGAATACATCTCTCTGTACGCATTGTCTTGTTCTTAGCTGAAGAATATGTAAGGCGGTGAGAATAATGTATAATTTATTCAAGAGGCAGTGGACTGTGACTTTATATGTATACACAAAAGGCACTTCCATCCTCACGGTGTTAACAACAATTCATCATTTGGCCTATCTGCTGTCATGGTGTCTATGGTGAAGTTGGAAATATAGACAAATAGTCAGCGGCTGTGTCTATGGATGCTGATGCACTAATCATATTTTTTTTGAGTGATGATATGCCATAAACAGATATTTAAAAGTTGTCTGTCAGTTTCTTACCTGATTCAACCCATGAATACCTTCTTAATGATAATTTAAGTAGTGTTAGATATGAAGTTTTCAGATGAAAGACTCAAACCATTTAAATGTGTCCCAAATGTGCTAAATCTATTAAAAGTGGAGCTGTGTTATCTTAACATTTTCTCTTTTTTTCTCTGCCGTTTCAGTGAGGAGTGTGCTGCAATCATGCAGAACCACGTGACTTCACTGCTGGTGGTTCTGCTGCTCCTGTGCAGCTGCACTGGGATCCAAACCCTCGACACTGCGCCCGTCCCTCTGTTTACCCAGTCTGTTTACAATGCTACCATTTATGAGAACTCTGCTGCTAAGACCTATGTGGAAAGTCTTGTCAAAATGGGAATCTACATCACAGATCCTACTTGGGAAATACGGTACAAAATCATGTCAGGAGACAATGAGAACCTGTTCAAAGCTGAGGACTATCAATTGGGAGACTTTAGTTTTTTGCGAATAAGGACCAAAGGAGGTAGCAGTGCCATTCTTAACCGGGAGGTTAGAGACCACTATATTCTCACAGTCAAAGCCATGGAAAAGAATTCAAATGATGAGGCTCGAACACGAGTCAGGATTCAGGTACTGGACACAAATGATCTTCGGCCATTGTTCTCCCCAACCGCTTATAGCATATCTTTACCAGAAAACACAGCTATTCGCACAAGTGTAGCCAAGGTGATGGCGACGGATGCGGATATCGGTACAAACGGAGAGTACTACTACAGCTTGAGAGAATGGACGGACGTGTTTTCGGTCCACCCCACAAGTGGTGTAGTTACGCTAACTGGAAAGCTGGACTACTCTGAGACAAAGCAGTATGAATTAGAGATTTTAGCAGTGGACCGAGGCATGAAACTGTATGGTAGCAGTGGATTTAGCAGCATGGCTAAGTTAACGGTACGAGTGGAGCAGGCCAACGAGCATGCACCGGTCATCACTGCTGTAACCCTAGCACCTTCAGACACTGACAAGGACCCTACTTATGCTGTTGTGACTGTCGAAGACAGTGACCAAGGTGCTAATGGTGAGATAGCATCTCTCAGTGTGGTTGCAGGTGACCCTCTTCAGCAGTTTAAAGCCATGCGCACAAGTCCAGGCAGTAAGGAATATAAAATCAAAGCAGTCAAGCAGGTCGACTGGGATAGTCAGCCCTTTGGATACAACCTAACACTGCAAGCCAAAGACAAAGGAAGTCCACCCCAGTTTTCATCCGCAAAGGTCATCCATGTCATGTCTCCCCACTTTAAAGTAGGGCCTCCTAAGTTCAGTCAAGCTACTTACAGAGTCAATGTGAGTGAATTTGCACCACTGAACACACCTGTTGTAATGGTAACAGCTGTGCCAAAGTATCCTCAACTTAAGTATGCATTTAGACACAAATTGGATAAAAATAATTTTGCCATTAATGCAGATTCAGGCTTGATTACAACAGCTGGGCCCCTTCATGCAGACTCCGTGAACAGATATGAATTAGAAGTTATGACCAGCGACAAAAAAGCATCTGCAAAAGTGATTATCAATGTGATCGACGTGAACAACAACGGCCCAGAATTCAAACAGACATCTTACAAAGCTAGCGTTGATGAAAATATGCCCATAGGTACTAGTGTACTAACAGTGAAAGCCACTGATTTAGACAGTGGGGAAAATGGATATGTCACTTACAGCATTGCCAATGTGAATCCCCAGCCGTTTGTTATTGACTACTTCTCTGGCATTATCAGTAGTTCAGAGATTTTGGATTATGAACTGATGCCAAGGATTTATACCTTGAAAGTCCGGGCGTCAGACTGGGGTTCCCCTTTTCGACGTGAGGTGGAAACTCAGGTTACAGTCACACTTAACAACTTGAACGACAACAAGCCACTTTTTGAGAATGTGGATTGTGATATAACTGTGCCAAGAGACCATGGTGTTAGTGAGCAGATCACAACCGTGTCTGCTATCGATGCTGATGAGTTGCAGTTGGTGAGGTACAGAATAAAAGCTGGGAATGACTTGAATCTGTTTGAAATAAATCCAAACTCAGGCGTTCTGTCCTTAAAGCAGCCTTTGAGTGAGGGTGAGGCAGCAAAAGTGTCCTATCACAGTTTGCAGATCATAGCCAGTGATGGAGAACATGAAACTCAGCCCATGTTTTTGAACATTACGGTCGTTACGGTACGTAAACCAGTCCAAGTGAAATGTGTTGATACTGGAGTTGCCAGCATGCTGGCAGAAAAGCTTCTGCAAGGAAGCAAGATCCACAGCCAAAACGAACCCGAAGACCACTTCCAAGACTTTCACTCTGTGAACCGCATTGCACCCCAGTTTGTAGAAACTTTTCCCAGTGTGATTGAGGTCAAGGAAGACGTGCCTGTTGGGGCCAGGATTGTCCATCTTAGTGCCATGGATTCTGACAGCGGTTTTAATGGAAAACTGGTTTATGTTATCTCTGGGGGTGACGCTGAAAGTTGTTTCGTCATTGACATGGACAGCGGATGGCTCAAAGTGTACGCACCTCTTGATAGAGAAACAACTGATCACTATACATTGAACATTACCGTGTATGACCTTGGAATACCCCAGAAGTCATCTTCACGTCTGCTGGATGTAAAGATCCTGGATGCTAATGACAACAGCCCACAGTTTTTACAGGAAGCATACTCGGTGGACATCAGCGAGAGCACTGCGGTGGGCACAGAGATCATTCAAGTTGAAGCAAAAGATAAAGATCTTGGTGATAATGGTGTGGTCAGATACTCCATATTGGCAGACACAGATCAATTTGCTATTGATATGGAAACCGGGATCGTTACGGTGAAGAAGCCTCTAGACCGGGAAGTGCAACCCAGTTTTATTCTCAAGATAGCAGCTCGTGACCAGGCCGCTGGTGAACCTCAACTTGTCTCGACTGTGTTGCTTAAAATCACACTGGAGGATGTAAACGACAACCCTCCGAAGTTTATTCCTCCAAATTATCAGGTGAGAGTTCGTGAGGATCTACCCATTGGTACTGTTATAATGTGGCTAGAAGCTCACGACCCAGATGTTGGGCCATCTAGCCAGGTACGATACAGCCTCGCTGACAACGGGGATGGGAAATTTGAAGTAGACAAATTGAGTGGCGCCGTACGAATCATGCAGAATCTGGATTACGAGAAAAAGCAAGTGTACAGTCTCACAGCAAGGGCAAAGGACAAAGGGAAGCCGATATCTTTGTCCTCAAGTTGTCACATTGAGGTGGAGGTTGTGGACGTAAACGAGAATCTCTACAGGCCATTGTTCCCATCATTTGTGGATAAGGGATTTATCAAAGAGGATGTGCCCATTGGAACATCAGTGATGAAAATCACAGCTCAGGATGAGGATAAAGGAAGAGACGGAGAAATCCGTTACTCCATTCGGGATGGATCGGGTCTGGGGATCTTTACTATTGACGAAGAAACTGGTAAGTTATCTTCCTTTCCCTTTTATCCATTCATGACTGGGGCGGGGTAGCGGGGGATGTTTTGTTGGGTCATGAATTATTCAAGAAACAAATCTCCTATGCATAAAAGAGGCCAGTGATATGAATGGTGCAAATGTGAAAGGACTTGCTGTATTAGAGGTGTTTTTTGGGTGTACAGAAGGAGGGATTCATATTATTTTGTGTGGCATCAGTTGGATACTTGCGCAGGTTGGTGGTAGCAGTTGGATGTCTTTGAGAGAGCTGATGAAGAGCATCCTGATTCTTTTCATGTTTGCGCCGGAGGAGAGAGAATTGATGGCAGGAACAGATGGAGCAGCTGTCTCTCAGACCTGCTGTAGACATTCCACACTAGTTGCCGTGGTATTAAGAGGATTGCTCGCCATCCCCACCCCCTACTTCCGTGCACACATATTTTTGTACTTGATTCTTTCTCTCGGTCTATTTTTCTTTTTAAATAATCAAATCAAGCACCGGCTATTTCTCATTTATAGATTATTTTGTTATGCAGGCCATAGGGTACTTAACATCTATGAATGTGAGCCGCTGAGAGTTAGGGAATGGTGCTTTTTGAAGCAAACACATTTCAAAAGTCAACATCTGGCCTCATTATCTTTATACAAAGAATGTATTAATACCTCTCTCAGCTGCCTGAAAGCACCTGTGCCAAAAGCTTAAAATAAGCAGTCTGGAATTCCAACGGTCTTTGACACCGTGCAACTATCGGCCACCCAGTAAAAAATGAAGGCCTCATTAGGGCTGGGTATCAAGTTTGATACTTTTTAGGCACCGACCGAATTGCCTCGATACCATCAAGTATCGAAAAATGTCTCGTTGTTCGGTACCAAATTTCGATACCTAAGGGGTTAATCTCAGCGTCAGTGAGCCAATAAGCCTGCAGCAGTAGCCGGTGTGTTCGACTAGAAGAGGTGCGGCGCAGATCGATCAGTGTTTGACAGACATCCGCGAGAGCGATTCGAAAGCGTACGGAACAGTCTGCTCTCTTTAGCTCTCGTGGTACTGTAATACACCGATCGGTCTGCACAGTCGGTCCGCATCAAGTCGAACACACCTACTAGTTTACACCGGTTACACTCAGAGATGTGGCGCACATGTGAGGCTGTAGTGCGAATGCGTCCCAGCCCCCTTAGATGTAAGGCTACATTTACACTGGTGCGTTTATGTTTTAAAATGAAAACGATCCTCGTCATACTGGCGTTTCCACTGCGTTCCAAGCTGGCTTTCCACTATCTCCGACAAGCGACAGGCCGGTCATTCAGTCATTCATTTCCAATGGAGAGTAGCGCGGGAGCTGCGTGGAGTTCCGATCATATGCAGATGT